TGAGGTATCTGAACTTTTTTCTAGTTTGCTGCATTCATCTTCTTATCGTGCAATGCTGTTGTTTGATGTTGGGTTGTGTCGTCTCGTGAGCTACTGTGTTGCTGCAACCAAACATTGGTTTGCACGTACGAGGATCACTGGCAAGTTCCCTGGGTACCTCTCTCCGTCTGCCGGCCTGAAATTCGCCGACGTGCCAAACGGCCTTGCTGCGATCTCGAAAGTTCCCGCCGCAGGTTGGGGACAAATCCTGGCCTACATGGCATTCTGCGAGGTTTCCCAGGATCAGTCGGCTGGCACCGCAGCCGCAGCGGGCGACTTCGGCTTCAAGGTCTTGACCTCCAGCGACCCAGCTGAGAAGACCAAGAAACTTTCGGCGGAGTTGGCGAACGGAAGGTTGGCAATCCCTGGCAAAGTCGAACCTCCACCTCACAGAAGGAGAACAGGTCAGCCACAGTGGTTAGGCGTGCTTGTTTGATCTCCGGGTGCCAGGGTGTAAACCTGCCAGTACGTGTGTTTTCGACTCTGTTAGATTTCTGATGCTCTTGATGGCAGGGCTAACGGAGGTAGCGGGGGCCACCTCTTAAAGGGGAGCCCGGGGCTCTCCTCCCCTCGGGGTGGGGGGCAACTCCCCTCTTTGGGGGTGGCCCAACGGCGGCGTCGGCCTGACAAGCCGGCGTCGCCGTCTTTTTTCTTGTCCAAGACCGTGAAAGCAAATCTCGACCTAGCTCGAAGGAGAGAGTCACACGAGTGAAGTGTAGACAAACGCTGAAGGATGTGACTCGCAAATCCTGGAAGCAACGATGTCTCAATCTCGTTTGGGGGGCGTTTAATGTTCGTACTATGCACTGTCAAGCCATAGTTTCTCCGGGGGGAGAGGTCAACCTTGTGGGGAGTGATGTGGATAGGCCTGAGTTGTTTTGCGAACTTTTGCGCAAGCATAAAATGTCCTTGTGTTGTGTGTCAGAACACCGCTGGAAAGGCGAGGGGACACTGCAGTGTGGTGACTACTTGTATGTTTTTAGTGGCCTGCCGGCCGACGCGCCTAAAGCTATGCAAGGAGTGGCAGTTGTAATGAATGAGGCGATGCAGGGAGCGTGGAGGAGAGCAGGTAGCTACTGTATGAACTATGGGGGTCGGTTACTGCATATCAAACTGGAGCTGCAACGTCGGGTGGTGCATGTTATATCAGTTTATGCTCCGACGTTCAACACGGAAGCTACTGAAAAGGATGCGTTTTATGATGCCCTTCGGGGTATGTTAGGAAAGGTCCGTAGTGGTGAGGAGGTGGTTGTGATGGGGGACTTCAACGCACGGGTTGGGTTTCGCGCGCACTCTGACATGAACGGGGCACATACTATCGGTGCTAGTGATGCTGTTGGGCCTTTTGGAATGGGCCACCTGAATGAAAACGGGGAGCGTCTCCTCGGACTTTGCGAGGGCTCGCCGGTAGGGCTTCTTAAAGTTGCGGGTACCTTTTTCCAGCATGCGCAGTACGGGTCATGGATGCATGCTCGTACCAAACAGTGGCATCACATAGATCATGTGCTAGCTCCTGTTCGTACTATGCGCCTCATCTTAGACGTCAAGACTATGCCTGGCGTTGGTTTTGACACTGATCACCGCCTTATACGGGTTAGGTTTAGGGTACCACCCCGGTCCTGGAATGGCTACAGTCACACGCAAAGTAGTAGGGGACATCACGGACGAATCCCTAAACTACAAGTTTCTAAATTGGGGCGGACAGAAGTGATGGCCTTGAATGACAAAATGCAATCCGCAGCTGCGGATGGCTTGTTGGATGATTATGAGCTCTGGTCTCATGGGCTACGTGTCTTTGCTGAGGAGCAGGTTGGTATACAACCCACGGTCTCCCGTCCGCAGTGGCAGGTAGATAACACTGTACGACTAGCAGAGCTAAGTCGTAAGCGCCTGCAGGCTTATGAAGCGTTTGCCAATGGTGGGCCTAGGGATGCGTATAAATCCGTGTGCAAGGAGGCTCGGCGGGAAATTCGGTCGATCGTAAACACGTGGTGGAAGGATAAGGCGGCAGCTATCCAGGAGAAAGTTGACAATAAGGAACCACACGCGGTTTACGCTGTGCAACGAGAGTTAAAAGGGGTCTTGTCCAACCGTCGTCGTCGACCAAATAAGTTGCGTGATGCCAAGGGTCAGTTGTTGGTTACCAAAGCCGATCGGATGCAACGGTGGTACGAGTATTTTAAAGACCTGCTTAATGTACATGGCACGTGCAAGGAATCCAACTTTGACTTTTTGCGGCGGGTGCCAGCACTACCTGAAATGGGACATCTCCCCCGATTTGCTGAGACAGTTGCTGCGGCGCACAAACTCAAAAACGGCAAGGCTACGGGGCCGGACGGAATACACCCGGAAATGCTAAAGGCTCTTGATATCATCAATTTGCGCGTGCTTCATGAACATATCGTACGAGTGTGGTGCGGAGCTGCGCCCATGCCTGCAGAATGGCTGGATAACTATTTAATTCCGATGCCAAAAAAAGGTGATCTCACATATTGCAAACGTTGGCGAGGAATTTTGCTAGCATCTTGCGCAGGCAAGATTTTTGGTAAAATACTTAACGCACGTTTGTATCGGCATGCCGAAAGCAATGGGTTACTTCCTGAAACGCAAGCTGGCTTCAGGGCTGGCCGTAGTACTATGGATATGGTATTTGTGCTTCGTATGGCCCAGGAAATCTCACGCACCAAGGATCATCCCCTGTTTGTGGTCTTTGTAGACCTGGTAACAGCGTATGATAGTGTGGTACGGAGTGGCTTGTGGAAAGTTTTGCTCATTAAGGGGGTTCCCCCCAATGTGGTAGCACTGCTTCAATGTCTGTATCAGAACAAATTGGTCCGGGTGTCTACAGAGGGTGACCTAACTGCAACGTTTGGTCTTCATACTGGATTGGGTCAAGGCTGTTGTGTTGCTCCACTCTTGTTTAATATCTTCTTTGCAGCTGTGCTTGAACAATGGAGGGGAGTGGAAGGACGGCGTTTGCGTTGGGGTACCAGGGTCGACGGGGTGCTGCGTCGCCAAGGGCTGTATAAGTATAGTACGTACGAGCCCTGCGATCTAGCTGAGCTGGGCTATGCGGATGACCTAGCACTATTGGCAGATTGTTATGGTCAGCTTCGCAAAATGACGCAAGAGTTCCAAAGCCATGTTTCGTCGTGGGGCTTAATTCTTTCTGTTGAAAAGACCAAAGCCATGTGCACCACCCAGCCCCAACAGGACCCAATTTCGGTCAGCCCACAAGATGGGTTTGATCATGTAGAATTCCAAGATTCCTTTGAGTACCTTGGCTGTGATGTCAAATTTGATGGGGACTGCACGGCAAACATACTCAGCAACATTAACAGTGCCCGCAAAGTGTTCTGGGGGCTTGCGCAAACGGTTTGGTATGTTCGTGAGCTCTCTTTGTCCTCCAAACTGTCTGTGTTTCGTGCAAGCGTCATTAGCATGCTACTCTATGGGTGTGAAACATGGACTACTACTTTTGCGGCGCGGCGAAAGTTGCGCGGATTTGTTATGATGTGTCTTCGAGTCATCTCGGGTGTAACTAGGTGGCAACAACAGCAATGGCATCTAAATAGCAAAATGCTACGGGAGTGGCTTGGGGTGCCGGATGTCGTAGATTTAATAACACAAGCACAGCTCAGATGGCTAGGACATGTTGCCCGCATGCCTAACGCACGACTGCCAAAGCGAATAATCTGCGCATTCCTCCCGGATGAGGTAGGCACGCAACGGCCGCCTGGGCGTCTGAAGGGTAAATGGTACCGGCAAACCTTAGTAGAAGCACTTCGGGCGGGGGGTTTCGCGCTGGGGGCTTGGATGCAACTCGCTGCGCAGCATGAAGGGAGGGAGTGGAAGTTAGGAACCCGCAAGGTGGCCATGTGGTTTAAACCCATTTTTCCTGTTCCCGGGGACAGCCCGCCTGATCGAAGCCGTGAAGTCCGGAAAATTATGAGCCGCAGCACAGCTCGCCCCGATAAGAGCTTCTTGGCCGCTGTGGGTGCTGCCCAGAAATGGATTGATAAACAGGAAACCCCGGCTGAGGGCTTTTTTAGGCTTGAAGCCGCAGGTCTGGAAGGTCGGTCTTTGCTTGATGCTTTCGCTTGGGAGGCTGCGTTATTGTGTGGGCAGGATTGGGGCAGAAGTGATTTCGAGGACGTTTTCGCTGCAGTCATGTCGGTGGAGCCATGGGTATCTCATTTGTCCCACGAAATGGATTTGTGTTTATTCCGGTTTGTTGGTATGACTGCGCACGCCAGAGCTCTAGATTGTGGTCATCTGGATGAGTATGTCGAAGCCTTGTCCAACTTACTGCCCCAAACGCAGCCGGTGCGGCGCCGGCTTCGAGCTAAGCAGCGTCGCCCCGAAGCATTCGAAAAAACTGAAACAGATGTTCCCCCACCGCCTGAGCCGGATGTCCCCCGAGTGCGTGGTCGATACTGGGCGGAACGACATCATAGCAACCGGGACGGGGCTATGTACGCGTGTCCTATTCTTGGATGTCAGCGGAAGTACACAACGCAACATGGGTTGGGTCACCATCTGATCCTGTCCCACCGGTCGGGCACGTATCGTGAAAAGGGCTGGGATTGTCCGCACTGTTGCAGATCTTTTGAACGTGAAAGTGCAATAACTAGCCATTTAAAGCTGCACTCCCCCGATGCCTCGCCATACATTTGTCCAGAATGTGGAGCCTACTTCCCTGGTAGGGATTCCGTGCGTATGCACATGAGTCATGCTCATCCCCTAAATCAAGATATGCTTCCCATCACATGTTCGTATTGCCTGCGCGCCGGAGTAGAAAATGTGTTCGTGCATCTGCACAGTTTCAGGATGCACCTTCTCCGTGAGCACATACAGTAATTCAGTTCTTCGTCCGCGAATCGGTTCAAAGCGACAACCAGCTACACTAGCTACAAGTAGCCTTACTTTTGAGCTCTTCGCGTCCTCTGAGTGTCCATGGTATGGCGCGCCGTGGGAATGACCGCGAACGTGAGCGTGACCGTGGCGATCGCGGTCGTGACCGTGACCGTGACCGCGACCGTAGGGATGGTCGGGAGCCTGAGGGGCCTGAGGGGAGTGGCAACACCTTCGAGGCACGCTTGTCAGCTGTTGAAGACCGGCTTCAGGCCACAGCCCTTCTTGCCAACAGCACTGCGTTCAAAGTGGGTAATGAGTCCGCCAAAAGAGCCCTGGTTTTCTTTGTGCAAGGAGAGCTCAAGGCCAAGCTTGAGCGCGAGTGGGGAGTATGGCAGCGGAACTCCGAGTTGCCCCCCGCGCAACGCCCGAAGGAGAAGCCGCTGCCTTGGAAAATCCAGGCCTACCAAGCGTTCGTGGAGTACGTTGACACCGCGGTCCGAAGCGCACCTAGTGGGTCTGGAGGGGAGGAGGCGACGCGACTACTCTTGCCAACTTCGCCTGCAGTTGAAGCCATTCAACACGGCGCTGCACAGGAAGATCGGGCATGGCCGATGGTGCTGGTCTTCAGAAACTCTGAGACCGCGCAAGCCGCGCGAGAAATATGGTTGCAGGCGTGCCTCAAACCTTTCCTTGGCAAAGACAAGGATTTGGGCGTGCGACCGGCTCGATATATGCCTGCTGGCGCTCATCGCCGGGTCCAGGAGTTCGTGCCCAAAGGCAAAGGCGTCGGAAAAGGGAAGGGCAAAAATCGGTCGCCGAAGCGCGAGTCAGAAGGTCCCGAAAGGGGCGATCTGCAGCGTCGCAGACTCTGACGCGGAGGACAGCGTTTGTCGTGAGGGTTTCTCGTCGGTCTGATTTCGTTGTGTGGCATGCGGTGCTGCCCGCATTGCCTTTGTCTTATGCCCGGTGCCGCCCGGTGCATGCTGTTTCCGTTGGGTGCCGTCCCACGGAACCGTTCGGTCGTTCGTCGTGTGACGTCCCTGCGTTTCGTGAAACTCTTGTGCGCACATGGTTACTTCACTTGTGATGTGCCAGTTAAGCTCAATGCACGCTTTTCCCCATGGTTGTTAATGGGTGTCCGTCGTCGGTGTTAACCCCTCTATGTCTGGTTGTTTCTGACGACAGTTCGGTGATTACTGTCCCCCCCCCGTCGAGTTGAGATATCTTTTAGCTGATTGGTTTCAAGTTTTCAAAACTTTTTAACGTTTTCACGCACCCAAGTCCTGTTACAGGACAACAGGGTGGCCTCCAGGTTGGCAATGATGGCCATCATCGGAATGTTCTTCCAGGTGAGGTTTTCGCACGTATCATGCGTGTCTATCTATGCGTGTGCACGTTTGTCATGATGACTTCATGGGACTTGTTGACCGATGTGTGCATGTGGACATGTTTCTTTCTGCTTGAAACAGGATGGTCTGACCGGAAGCGCCTGGGGTGACTGGGCCAACTACACCGCCTCCCCGCTCCGTGCGTTCGAGAACGAGCTTGGTGTTCAGGATCCCGTCGGATTTTGGGATCCCGCTGGGTTCACCGCCGACGGCAGCGTTGAGGACTTCAAGCGCCGCCGCCAGACCGAGATCAAGCACGGCCGAATCGCAACTTGGATGTACTTGGGACACGTGAAAGATTCCGAGCATCTCCCCCTTGAACAAGCGTTTCAGGATTCGATCTGTTGTTCGTTAGTGCGTTCTCAATGCCTAGGCGATGCTTGCGGCAATGGGCTACATTACTCCGGAGCAACTTTGGTTGAAGAGCTGCAGTGTTGATGAGTCAGGAAATGTCAGGAAGAGGCGATGAGGTATCTGAACTTTTTTTCTAGTTTGCTGCATTCATCTTCTTATCGTGCAATGCTGTTGTTTGATGTTGGGTTGTGTCGTCTCGTGAGCTACTGTGTTGCTGCAACCAAACATTGGTTTGCACGGACGAGGATCACTGGCAAGTTCCCTGGGTACCTCTCTCCGTCTGCCGGCCTGAAATTCGCCGACGTGCCAAACGGCCTTGCTGCGATCTCGAAAGTTCCCGCCGCAGGTTGGGGACAAATCCTGGCCTACATGGCATTCTGCGAGGTTTCCCAGGATCAGTCGGCTGGCACCGCAGCCGCAGCGGGCGACTTCGGCTTCAAGGTCTTGACCTCCAGCGACCCAGCTGAGAAGACCAAGAAACTTTCGGCGGAGTTGGCGAACGGAAGGTTGGCAATGATGGCCATCATCGGAATGTTCTTCCAGGTGAGGTTTTCGCACGTATCATGCGTGTCTATCTATGCGTGTGCACGTTTGTCATGATGACTTCATGGGACTTGTTGACCGATGTGTGCATGTGGACATGTTTCTTTCTGCTGCAAACAGGATGGTCTGACCGGAAGCGCCTGGGGTGACTGGGCCAACTACACCGCCTCCCCGCTCCGTGCGTTCGAGAACGAGCATTGATTCAAGCAGAGCCTGGGCATCTGACATGCCGCTAGAACCTTCAACGCTCAGTCTGACTCGCGAATCCTGAAATCCTAAGTCTACTGGGCTGAACTCCTAGGTATAGGAGGTTATAGGTATGTTGCATGTTGGCGAGTAGTGAGTCAACTATCCAATGGGTTCAAGGCGTGTGTTCGCGATGTGTGTCTTGCCGGGTATGACGTACTGGTGCCGCATGCTGGTGTGTTCAGCGATCATCTCCCTAAACCCCAAACCCTAGACCCTACCTTCGTATTTTAGTACGGAGCCTTGTATCTTGCTATTTTACAATTATCCTTGGCTTGAATGGGGATGCCCTGATGGGAGCCAGTCGGATGGGGGGGTCAGTTTAGGCGTTCGCAGGAAGGGTGTGTGTTGGAGAGGGATCGGTCGGGGGACCTTTTCGTTGAACATGCATATGTATAAGTTAAACGGTTGGGGTGAGACAACCAAGCTAAGCGAGCCGACCGTTTGTGTGTTCCAAAATGTAGAGGTGCAGCGCGCTGGATGGACAGCGATACCCTTTATTCCCCAAAACCCGAAAGCTGAAACCTTTCAGGAGAGTAAGGAGACTCCTAAAACCCTAAACCCCTGAACCCCTAAGTCTAAACCCTAAACCTTAAACCCTGAACCCTAAACCCTAAACCCTAAACCCTAAACCCCAAGCCTGAAACCTCTCAGGAGAGGCGGAGGCAGATCAGGGGATTTGAGGCTGGCGGGGGGGGGGGTCCAGGGCTTTTGAGATTCAGGGATTTTGGGGTCTTCGGGTTGTTTGGAGGATTTAGGACCTTGGTCTCAAACCTGAAGCCTACGATGTAGGCGGATGTGTGTACAGGGTGGCAGCAAAGTCCCGGAACCCACGGCCTCAGGGGAACGCTTGCAATCGAACCTCTCATAAAGGGGCCTTCATCACATTGGCCCTACAAATTTTTCGTATGAGGATCGACCGACTGAAGATTGGCGCTTGAAACCAAAACGGCCGAAAACCCCGAGAATTCTTTTAAGAAGGCTTGCATGATACCTGAGAATATGTAGCCTTAACCTTTAGAACCCCAAGCCGTAAACCTTCTCCCGTAACCCGAAACCCGAGGAAGGTTCTGCAGTATCTGCTTAAGGGATCTTAAGGGTTTGTGAACCAGAGACGTCAATAGCGCCCAAATCGGAGAAGTTCTTTAAACTTTAGATCCTGTTAGAGCAATTTAGGGAATATTTCCCAATTACGGGGTTGTCTGGGTTTGAAGCGTGTCTATACCCATTTACATAACCTTATAGACGTCTTGAATTCACAAGAAAGGATGACCTAGGTTTCAATGAAACTTTTTCCCTGAACCCTAAACCCTAAACTCTAAGTCGACCCGTTCAGAAGCTGCCGCCTGCTTTCCTTTCCCCCCCCATCCTCATCAACTCCAGCGAGGATTCCAAAGCTCTCAGAAAGAGTGGGAAGAAGATGGGGGGGTTTCCGAAATTAGGGATACCTTATTGGGGTGCTTATTATAAGGGAATCCTACTATTTGGGGGTATATATTTAGGGTCAAACCCCCACATGAGATGCAGAAGGCAAATACCATCATGAGGAGAACAGCAAGAACAGTCAGGATGGGAAGCAAGGGTGTCGGCTTTTAGCTTTTGCATCGCCATCGTCGTCGTCGTCGTCATCATCATCATCATCATCATCATCAGAATTATCATGAACAGTATGTTTTAGAACGCATGTGCGATATACATATGTGTGAAGAAAGAAGGATGAAACTAAGTTTAGGCCCTAGCGCCCTAAACCTCTAAACCCTGATCCTTGGATCGTTGAACTCTCAACCCCAAACTCTAAACCCTGAACCAACCTGATCCATAAACCCTGAGACCCGAACACCATGCACCCTGAGCCGTGCCAAGAGGCTTTGATTAGGTGATCGTCGTGCTTGTACATGACCCGGGTCCGTCGCTCAATCGGGGTCGAGGGCTTAGGGTTTCAGGGTCTTCGGATCTTGCGCTGGGGCAGTTTATAGCTTTGGGGTTTAGGGGTTTTGGGGTCTAGTCTGGGTCTAGACGCGTCTGAGGCTTGTCTGGATTGAGGGTTGAGGGGTGTGAAGGTTGTGGAGTTTTGGGGGTTCGAGTGTGAAGATGAGAGGCTTGGTACCCTTTGCGTGTGAAGCTCTTCCTCCTGCTTGTCCTGCACGATCCGTATTGCGAGCCTCAGAATAGCACCCATACAATATAAATTTCGAGGGCTTTTTCACAGCCTTAACACCATTGAAGACTTGAAACCCTCAACCCCTACATCCCGTAAAACCCTGAACCCATAAAACCCCAAGCTCCTCACCCCCTTTAAGCCTCGTGGAATGTGCGGTTTACACCCCGGGGTTTAGAGTTTAGAGTTTGGGGTTTCGGGTTTCGGGTTTAGGATTAAGGGCCTGAAACCCTAATCTTAGAGTTTAGAGTTTGGGGTTTCGGGTTTCGGCTTTAGGATTAAGGGCCATAAACCCTAAACGTTGCCCTAAAGCCCAAAACCGATTGGCAAGGACACCTTAAGCGGCGATCCCTGCCGAAACATCGGCAGACCCTGCCCTCAAACCCCTCACACAGGAGCCCCTTGCAGACACGTCCCTCACCGCGAAAATCCGCGAACTCATACTCCAACCCGAAACCCTAAACCCTAAACACTCTAACATTCAACCCTAAGCTTTAGGGGATCTAAGCTCGAGGCTCTCAGCCCTGAACCCCCCCCAAAGCTGCAACGAAGGGGATTCCTGGAAGTTACGGAGGCCAGTGGCCACCCCGCGCACGACGGGATCCTGGCGCCGCCATGCGCGGCAAAAGCAAGAGCCGTGCTGTGCTTGGGGTTTAGGAGTTTAGGGGTTGGGGTTTAGGGTTTTTAGGGTTTTTAGGGTTTGGGGTTTTTTGGGTTTAGGGTTTAGGGTTTCGGGTTTACGGTTTTTTGGGCTTTTGGGTTGAAGGGTTTGCGGGGGTTGAGGGCATGGCCAACGTGCAGGAGGAGGGCATCCATAAGGAGGACGTGCGTCGTCATGTCGTGTCGCTTAAGGCCAAAGCCGTTCTTGCTGCAAAAACTGTCCTATGAAGTCGGGTTTACATTTCTTGTACCTTAAATACACTCACCAAAAACAGTAATATAAATAAACCATACTTCATATCTACGAAACGACATGAGGACGCATGCCCCCTGAGGCAGCTCCCGAGCCCCAAAAACCCCCCGAAATCTCCTCCAAGCCTCAAAAGCCCCCCCGCGCCACGCACGCGCACCTCGCCTTGGAGGTTCAGGGGGGTACTTCTAACCACAAGTATAAGTCCACTTATAACGTACTTAGAGGACTTAGGAGACTTAGGGGGCCTTAGAACTGCAGTTATAGTTGGGG